GGAACACACGCATATACATGCCAATTCCTCTGGTTTATCTGTAACATGCTATAACTTTTTATACTCTGCATCTTGTGTCAATTGGCAAAATGTTCATTAAATCACTGATTTTTAAAGATGCAAGTACATCTGAGCCATTTAGTAGTATCAGCTATAACTACATATCATAAAACTAAAATGCAGAATCATCTAGGAGTAGATCTCAAGGCGCAGTAATTGTTTAAGATATCCTTTTTTATCAGTGCCTGCAATGTTTATGCCTACACTAATAAGTCCAGTTTTCAGTCACAATTTTCAGACATGTAACACTGCAAATCGACATACCTTTTGATCCAGCCTGGAGCTTTAGGATCCATTGTGCCTACCGACTGCTTGGAGGCCGGCGGCAAGACCTCCCTTCCAGCATCGGCCATGCTCTCTGCCGCATAGATCTGGCCATCCGCGCTAAACGCCGGCACGTCGGGTTGGCTATGCCGATGGCCATGCAGGCAGCAAGGTCCAGGAATTGACACCAAAATCTGTACCTGGAAACAACACAAAAACCATATGGTGTCTATTAGGAGAAGATCATCCAAAAGAAAAATCAAAGAAGGGGAAGAAAAAGAAAGTGAACAACTGAAAACCAAGCACCAAACACTCAACAAATAGCCAAAATACACCAACAAAATTCCAAAGAAGCAACAAAAGAAAGAAGAAGAAACCAAGAGAGAAATAGGACATGCCAATCATATAATGGGTATGAAAGAAATTAGCCAACTTAAGTTAGGACCTCACTTAATTAGTCAAAGCAACATCAAAAATATTATTTTGCTCCTTGCTAGTTGCTGTAAAAAGGCATACAGCGATTCCATATTATCGGGTGGTTCTTAACTTCTTATTGCATAACTTTTCATGAACAATATGATATAATATCTTGGATGCTCCAATCTCCAAACTGTAAACCTTCCATCTGATATAGCGGCGATAGTGAATCATAATTGAATGGAGCACTATAACCGTCAGATTCACCAGTCTAATTAATATTTTAGAGCTACTTACACCAAAACCCTGGCCCTGTGTTACCATGGAGATGGCCTGAAAGAAACCACGATTCCTTCAGGAAAAAACCCCAGCAAAACTCACTGCTTCCTCTCTATTACAATGAAAATAAATTAATTCAAACAAACAATACATGCTGCGTTGTAGCCCCTAATACGATATTAGTAGTTTTACTACTATTTCTAGACACGAAAATAGTATGAACAATTAAATCATTGGCTACAAATCAAGCAATCCCTGCTCGATTTTGAAGTTCTTTTAGCGAAAGTTGAATTGAACATGAAAAAATCAAACAATATACAGAGAGGAGCTGGTACACCTGTGGATGGGTTGGAGATGAAGTTGATGTATACAACGACACTATCTCGACGAGGACGCCCGCCGCCACGCACGGCTGGGATCTGAGCGACCACCACGAGCACACTCGTCAGGATATCCGCTTGATTTTGTTGGTATGCATATCATTTTTCTTCCTGTAACACAGATATCTTTTGCATTAAGAACAATACACATGTCTCCATCTTCCACATGAGGTGCATAGGTTGGCTTGTCCTTGCCTTGAGACACAACAGCTATTTGGGATGCCACATGAGACTCATACTGGGTAGTCATTTGGGGATTTCAACTGCAATGTCAGTTTCATTTTCCAGTGAGAGCCAAAGAGTTGTAGTTTCTTTCACTCAAACTATAAGCTGGACGCAAGAAAGAATCATACTGGACAATTATTACAAGATTTAACTGCAGGCTACTTTTGTTTTTCAGGCAGGATCAAAGGGTTGTAGCTTCTTTCTCACAATCCAATAAATGAGTGAATCTGCACCAAATCAAAATAAGCATCAGATTGGATGTGAGATGGAGCAAAGAGGGATAGGATGGGATTGGATTGGGAGAAGCACGGACCAAAGCAAAACGAATTAACCAAACCTCATTCAGTCCAACATACCAAATCAACCTAAAAGCACACCGAACTTATCCAGACCCATCGCCGTCAGCGGGCTGGGCACTCGGCAGGCACGTCCATGCCTTGTGCGCCACCAGCCTCTCCACCGCGAACGGCCTCCCCTGCACCTGCGGGGCTCTCCTGGTCCTCTTCTTCTTCCTCCTCCCCTCCTCCTAAGACCACCACCCCGGCACCCAACGGAGTTCAAAGAACAGCGGAACCCGATGGCACATCGATCATAGGGAGCGCCATGGCGCGGCGGAGGAGAAGAATCTGGGATGGGGGAGGCGGCGGCGGCGAGAGTTAGCATGGGAGAAAGAGGGAAGAGGAGAGGAGGAGGCGGCGGCAAAGAGGGAAGGCGCCGTGGTCTCGTGGAGTCTTGAGCGAGACCAGGTTAGGTTAGGCCAATCCTACATGCGTGAGCGACTTTGACCAACCCCGTTGCGTTCATTTTGTCGTTTCTTATCCGACGTGGCTAGTGCGAGAGGACGCCCCTTCCGCACACGTTAATGTTTCTCGATTTGCTATCAGACTGGAAAATAGAAATTGCATTAGTGTGCAAAAGGTAGCCAAGGGTCGTGGTGCGATGTTTGTCAACATTAGCCACATTGTTGGTCCATCCAATTCCAGTGCTCTGATATAGTGGGCTCTGTTTAGTTTATAACTTTCCTGATCATTTTGGTCCATCCAATTATAGTGCTTCTTCCATGTGCGAAACATACATAGTGCTCGTAAATGTCAGTCATGTACCAAATTTTCAAGCAAGCTCCGTAGTGATGGTTCACCTAATAAGATGCTTCTCTCCTACTGCACTTTCAGTGTGAAATGGTAAAACTGAAATTGAGTTGGGTTTACATTGGAATTGTTGCTGACTGCTAAAATGCCTACTCCAGCCTGAGTATCATTTTTACCTTTGACGGTCACTAAACTGAAATCTAAGCGTGGATGGTTTTGAACCTCGGAACATGCAGAACCAGAAGCCGAGGACGAGATCAGACAGCAGGTAGCCAAGGAGGAGGCAGAGTGTGGCAGTCATGGTCGTGGGCGGGGCAGAGGCAGGGGGGCCAAGACGGCGACTCCGGAGCCAATGCCGTCAGGAAGGGGCAGAGGCAGAGGCCGTCCTAAGAAGGGAACCGGCAGCCCTGGCGCTTCTCCTCTGGAAGCCGGGAGCTCAGGACAAGGTGGGAAGAAGAGCGGGAAGCGAGGGAGGCCTCGCAAGTGATCGGCCGAGTTTTTTTGGGTCAGATCAGCTGGCAGCGATAGTGGTTGTTACTCTTTGGTGCTGCCGTGCCAGTGCTGCAGGTCCTGATTATGCCATACTAATCTGATGGCTTTGAACTCCTAGTCTAATGGAGATGGCAAGGGCTAGATTCATTACCTCCTGCAAATTGTGGATGCTAGCCATGGACACTGTAGGCACGAGCAGTGATGCTTTGGCGGCTGATGTTTTTTCTTTTGCGCGAAATGGATGCAGAACAGAGTAACAAGAATGCGCAGTTTTTTCTTTTTTGAAGTTAACAAGAATGTTAAGTTTTATCAAAAAGAAAAACACGTTCAGGAAAAGTCGGACTGGCGCGAGAATCCCCGGGCCCGATGTTACCTTCCGTCAGAACTAAGAAATGGAAAAAATGTGCGTGATACGGTGATAGTATACCGATGAACGTCGGCCCACACCTCCTGATGCTGCTCGGCGTGGAGACGCCGTCGCCGGGGCGTGCGGCGAGTTCTTCGTGGAATCGTGGTGGGAAAATGGGAGAGGCTGCTGCGGTATGACCTCGAGAGCCGCAGCAAGCCGGAGCTCCACGAGTGCAACCGCGCGCGGGTAGCCGGCGGCTAGACGCGCTCTACCGCCACTACAGTGCGTCCCCCTTCTCCAAGTGAGAAAGGCTACTGGTGTTTTTTTTTAGAAACTATCGATCTTTAGCAGTTGATGTGATGTGGTGATCAAAAGGTGCTCGATTTAAGGTGACAATGCACTGTAACATGGTCCATTCTTAGTTTCATTCCTGAGTTACGGCTAGAAGAAAGGTTCAATTTATCATCGCTACTTTTTTGAATGACTATGTGTTGTGTCATGGAACAACAAACTTAGATATAAGGACATTGATCAACACGAGATTATAATTTGCATTGTGTAAGTCGATGTGACTTATAACTGGAGCAACAAATTATTGACAGCAAAATAATTTGCATGGCAACACTTCCAATTCTCGAACAGGACGGGAACCTTTCCGGCTTCAAGAATCTTGCTTCTTCTCAATAAACATAAACTTCAACGGAGCAACAACAAACCGAACTTAAGTGACGTCTACGGCGCAACAACAAATCAAACTTAAGTGACGTATAGGTCCTATTTGCTGGGTGCAGGGGAATAGGATTGGCCTACTGCAGTACTGCTGTGATGGTCGTCGCCGCCAGAGAGCGCCGGCACTAGATTGAGATTGAGGGGACGCTTGCGGCTGTGAGACACGGAGCCGGCTGCGTCCATGGCCGGAGTGGTGAGAGACGAGCCAAGGAGTGGGAATGCTGCAGGCGTCGGGCAAAAGGGTTGGGCTTTTCGCCCCGCAGTCGCGTTTTCACCGGCTCTCGAGCTGGGATTCCAAACTCTCCACGCCAAAATTTCACGTGCGCAAGATTCCTCAATCCCATTACTGGCAATCAAAATGTGCACAAATTTTACACACTCACTCCACGGGTACATGACTAGCAAAAAATTGCACAGGCAAAACTGTGTTCAGTAATCAGTATCCTCTCTCTTTCAAGAGCCACCACTATAAAAATATTACTAGACGGAACCATTGGACATCGAGGAAAAAGATGCAACTCTTGACTTGCACTACTAGCCTCTACCAGAAACAAAAAGAATTCCAGCTACAGGAAATGCTGGAGGATCATACTGCAACTGTCAACACAAATTCATGTTAGGACCGAATGATGAGTCATTGAGGTAATGAGGAGGAGATAAGGAATGGCTTACAGTGAACTGCTCTCCTCTATGTACACTTGTACATATAGAAGGATACTAAATGGGAGGTTCGGTACGTATTCCCGGCGTTGTTGCGTTATCTGTGTCATCAACGAGACGGCGGAACCTCGCCGCAAGTTCTTGGTAGAACTGCATATCTGATGGACTTACTCGGTCGATTGCCGACTTGAAGTGTGTAATTGCTACTTCTGGGATGTCAAAGTTCTCCTGGTAAAAATCCAAATAGTTTATCAGCAAGCTTCTAGTGAAGAAAACACATCCAGTCCTTGTGTACCAGAATGGGCAAAGGGCAGGTAGCATACATCAAGAGCAGCTACAGCGGCTTCCCTGCAGACGAGCTTTATGTCGGCGCCGGTGTAGCCTTCTGTGAGTCTAGCAAGTTCGTTTAGATTGACATCGTGACTGCAAGGAATGCTGCGTGTATGAATCCGGAAAATATCCTCACGGTCAGCTTCATCTGGTGGTTGAACATCAAGCAGTCTGTCGAAACGACCTAGTGCATACATCATTCATGAAGTTAAAACCAACAAAAGATAGAGAGCATTGCATGTGTAACTCAACAAGGAACATAGACCATAAAATGCATGTGCATAATCTGTGTAGTTAAGACAGATGACCTGGTCTCAGAAGTGCAATATCGATTTTGTCAGGACGATTCGTAGCTGCAATAACAGTGACACCAATCTTCTGGTCCAAACCTGTTGCAATCATGGTAATTATAGATGATAAAAACCTAACTGGCAAAGATATGTAACAACTAACATGAGTCCAGATCGTAGGTTTTCAGCATTTCCAACTAAGAATGAAAAGACAAGCAAATACTCCCTCCGTTCGGAATTACTTGTCGCAGAAATGGATGTATCTAGACGTATTTTAGTTCTAGATACATCCATATTCGAGACAAGTAATTCTGAACGGAGGGAGTAGCACAGAGCCCAGTAACTAATACTCCCTCTGTCCCATAATATAAGACATTTTTGCAAGTAGCTTGCAAAAACGTTATATTTGGGACGGAGGGAGTAAGATAGTAGGATACCGGGGCCTCAATTTTGACTAGTAATTGTCCATTTTAATGAATGTAATCTAGGTTTACTATCTAAGATTATTCTGTTAATTGTACCAAGAAAGAACAACCTGTGCGGAATCAACCAGTAGAACCTAAAGAAATAGTAGAAACGTCATATCTGCTCTAATTTACATGCTTGACTGCTTGGTTTGTGTAGTACTCACTCCGTTGCTTGGTTTGGGACAGAGGGAGTAGTCATCAATTAAATCAACGACAGCCTATAATACAAGAGTAACCCACTTTCCAGTATTTAACTACTTAATAAAAAATCAATGATTTGATCAAATAAAGACTGAGGTAACAAGTGACCAGTTGCTGGACTACCATCATGGACCAACCAACAGTCCCTAAGTACCAAGGCTTACCATCCATTTCCTGTAGCAACTGACTGAGTACCCTATCAGCAACAGATATGCCATTACTTCCATGGCCACGAGTTACTGCAAGCCCATCTATTTCATCAAAAAATAATATTGCAGGCGCATTATCCTTCGCCTTAGCAAATAATGATCTCACTGCCTTTTCAGAGTCACCAACCCATTTGCTGAAAAGCTCAGGACCCTTAACTGCAAGGAAATTCATTTTTGCTTCAGAAGCTACAGCGCGAGCCATTAATGTCTTACTGCAACCTGGTGGTCCAATCATTAGCAATCCTCTAGGAGGGCGGATCCCTAAGCGTTCAAACGCGTCTGGGCATTTCTGTGGCAACTGGATGGCTTCAATTAACTGCTTCTTGATCCTGGCTTGACCACCAACATCTTCCCATCGTACCTTTGGAAGCTCTAGCATTACCTGTACAGGAAATGATGGAAGAAGCATTAACATTGTGCTACGTTCTACAGATCACACACATATTTTTACTGATGTTGGTGTCTATTTCCCATAAGATAGCAACACACCAGGGTGCATCTCGAACAACCAAATCAAGAACACCTTACATTAAACTGAAATTGTTATACCAGAACTTCACATCAATTGTTCTGAAATGTGCAACTTTTAGTTTAGTTTCCACTGCTCATCAGTTGGAGTCCATGACACAAATATTGACACAAACATATGAAAAGAAAGAAAAAAAAGCAAGAGAGAAGAAATGATGCTTACAAGACAAGAACTATTATGAAAAAAATCACAGCAAGTAATAAGAGAAGAAATCTGAGAAAGAAACACTAAATGAACATATAAGGTGGGTAAAAATGATACCTCACGCATCGCACTTGGTCTAATTTTCATTTTAGCTTGTTCAAAGTCCTCTTTAGTCACCAACAATAGCAACTCATCTTTCTTATCATCCGGCTCGCTACTTTCTATGGTATCACCTCTACTGGTCCAGCAATGATCCTCCATTGACATGGTTAACTTTGAGAGAGATGATGATAATGAGCTTATTTCATAACCCAAAAGACCATCAATTTCTTGAATATTCGTCTTTTCTGCATTTGTGTCACGATCACCAAGTAGTTGGGTTGAACTTTCCTTTACACTGATATAACGGCGAAGAGCACTCAATGCAGCCTCGTTGCATAGTGCAGCTAGATCAGCACCCATGAATCCATGAGTGGCAAAAGCAAGGGACTCAACTTCCTCACTAGTGAGGGAGTGGTGAACTCCACTTAGAAGGTGGTGAAGTATGTCCAGCCTCTGTCCTGGAGATGGTACTCCTGCAAGTGAATCAACAATTGATCAACTTTGACTTGCTCAACAACTTGTCAACTGGACAACCCTATTATTCAACGGCTTATCATCGAAGACAGCCAGCTTGCATTTGACGCTATCTGTAAGCAGTCAACCTCAGTTTACCCTAAGTTCTGAAAACAGCTAGTACTAAAGTGATGCAGATAACTTTATATGGGGCATGATGTCTCTAAAGTATCGCAAAGTACTTAAAATGCAAGATAACAAATTGCCTATTTTTCGCCGGGGGAGGATGGGCATTAATCAATCGCCTACAATTATTTGTTGATACCACCCTAAATGGATGATGTTACCAGCAAAAGGAATCCTCATGTATTCGGCACATATACTAGCACTGGATTTAGTTGCACACAAATACCTTTTGTTAGGGGATGATTGCACACAATACCTTAAAAAAGAACAGCACTGACCTAGAATAGATATAGAACTGCGGTACATGAAAAACATCAGAGATTTCTACCTATTTCAATTTCTTGATCGAATCTTCCTGGTCGTAGTAATGCACGATCAATACTTTCAAGACGATTTGTAGCAGCAATCAAGATAACACGATCATTACGGCCAATCTCATCCATCAGTTTTAACAGAGTGGCCACCATTCTAAGAGACAACTCCTCGCCTCCATCCTTCCTGGCTGGAGCAATCGCATCCAATTCATCAATAAATATCTAATATCAATGAAGATACATATTATCAATCCTCAATGTTGTTATCAATTAAGACATCACATACTTCCTCATTGTAATATAGAGAAACCATTGGTAATTAAATAATTCAATTCATAGACATCAATAATCATATTGCTAATCATTCATAAGTCCTCATTGAAGTATAGAGAAACCATTTGTAATTAAATACTTCATTCAATCCATAAACATTGATAACAGGAGATATTACTAATTTTGATCACTAATAACTCAAGAGATAATGGATGATAACACCTAGCTTACCCAAAATCTAGTTCATAAGATATATTTGTTTTTTTATCTTCTTCAACTTTTGTATCTTCTTCAATTGCAGTAAGTGTTATATTGATTTTAAAATGGTAGTAACTTCTAACTTCACTTAAAATGTTAAAAAATGGTGTAAAGGATGAGGTTCCTCTAAAGATGGATGACCAATGTTTTCATCTAGAATACTAAGGGTAACCACCTGAGGATAGGAATCATTTTAACTCAGGTTCTAGAAGTCGTGAACAAAAAGATTGCTCATTTTTCTATCCCACATGATACAGGGTGAGGGAGAAAAGGTTAAAAAATTGTGACATTAGCTTCCTAAAAAGGTAGTAGACTAAGAGTATTTCAACTGCTGTTGACATGACAATGAAAAGAAGTGGTTGGCATTAGAAGAAAATCTAACCACAGCAGGTGCAGCTTGCTTAGCTGAAGTGAAAACATCATACAATGTTTGTTCACTTTCACCGTGATACTGACTAATGATCTCTGGTCCATTGATTGTAAAAAGATTGGCTCCCAGATCATAGGCACATGAAGAAGCAAGAGAGGTTTTCCCTGTTCCAGGTGGACCATAAAGAAGAAGACCTTTATACCTGAAATGAAAGAAAATAGTATATCGTTAACTAACAAATAAATGTGTTTGCAATCTAGGGGGGGGGGGGCAAGTTCACGCTATACCTTGGTAAATCATGCAAACCATTCCTTGGCAGACCAATTTGATCTGCCAGCGAAAACGAAATCATTTCTTTTACTTTTGCTGACACTTCCGATAACCCACCAAGCCTTTGATCATGATTGGCATCTTCACTTGCTGTATCAGCACAGATGGAATATTCTGGTGGGAACCCTAGCTTATCTGACCCAAACTCCTTTGAAGATGACAAATCAGAAAGGTGCACTTTTGTGGTTCTCTCGACAAGGAACAAAGCAGGGTTTCAACCAATTTACCAGAGACATCTGCACTAGACATTGAATTTTTTTTCTCACGCACTACATCCAGGGCAGAACCATCTGTTTCTGCTCGCAGAACTACGAACATAGATAGTTTTCCGCACATTGAGAGAGGGACATAGTTTCCTTTCAGCAAGTGCCTACCATCAAGCCACCGTGATGCAGAAGTCTTCAGCAAGTCACTTATTTTATCATCTGCTAATGCTGATTTTGCAGTGGCTTGATCCAAGCACAATGAAAAGCCACTGTTAGATGCACCATCATGGGATTCATTTCTGCATGGAGGAGTTGAAGGAATCCTTTTAGGTGACTCCATAACCATCACATTTCTTACAGGATGGCAATCAGATTCCGACTTATTATGACTGGACGGTACAACTTTCGTTGGAACTAGACTGAGATAAAGATCGCTGCATTTTATCACACGCAAAAACTCGCCAGAATCAGCTCGCTTTGGGGCTTGGGATGTATATAGGGGGCTAATTAGCAAAGAACGACCTACTGCAGGGTATCCCAGTGTGCAGGCAAGATCCCAAGAGAGCTTGATGTCATTCTTTTGAACCTGATAAGAGTGACCATCCAATCAGAAACTTTTACAGTTTGGCATTCGCGGCATTTATACACCAAGAGAAGAAAGATAACAAAGGCACATACCTCACGTGAAGGGAAAACTGTGGCAGTCACAAAGTTCACCCCAGCTTCATTAGAGATGAGATCATTGTCCACATCAAGATCAAAAAATCTGTTGCACTCCTCAAATAAACTATCAAGTGGGAAGCCATCTAAACTGTTATTACTTGAAGAAATGAGTGACACCTAAGAACAAGGAGACGAAGCTCAGCTGACTAGAACAAAACAACACATAGACACTGGTAAGCTGAAGTTTTATCTCTGTTGGAAAATCCATGGGAAGCTCGAATGTCAGTTCTACAACCAGGGTACCGCAATCCACTGTATGTGTTAATCTTATTTTCAGCAAGCTGTAAATATGATTCTTTGCGGCGGTATTGAAAAACAGTGTGGATCAATCAATGTATATTCAGTTGACCAGATGTTACACTAGTAGAGCAAAGATACATCTACACAGTCAAAGGTGGGCACACAGTCGAAATTTTAACAGCAATAATTGATGTTACATGGAGCATGGTTTGTATTGAAAACACAAGTGTAGTGCTTAGTTAACAAGTTTGGTGAGGAGCATACAAAGACGAGGCACCCAGGCCGAAGCCCGGTGCTAGCCATGGCGGGCTCGGCAAGCCAGAGCCTCCCCTCGCCACCGCGGCTCCCGCCCCTGGAGACCACATCGGAGACGGTGCCGGCGAAACAACCCGCGCCTCCGCGGGGTACGAGAGCCGGGTACCGCGCCGCCGCCGCTGCAGCGGTGGACGAGAGGTCCAGGATGCAGCCCCCGGTGCCTTCACGGGCGCGAGAGGGAGGTGTACGAGGTGACGGCTGCGGGGATGCCGACGGCTTCTTCTTCTTGCCCTTCGAAGACATGGCAGCAGTTCCGGCGAGCTTCTGGGAACCTAACACAGATATGATACATGGATACACAAATTTGCCATTTTGGAAAAACTTCAATGTGGGGATACGTTTTGCTATTATTTTTAATTCACAAAAAAATATGTATAGAAGCTAGGAACAGCAGATCACCTTCTTGCTTGCTCTCCTGAGCTAAAATGCGCCGATACGTGTATCAGTATCTACAGATAGGTAAATTCGTCATTTTGGAAAAGCACCAATAAAGGGATACGATTTATTATTTTTAAAATTCACAAAAAAATATGTATAGAAGCTAGGAGCAGCAAATTACCTTCTTGTTTGCTCTCCTGAGGATGCCAAAGCAGCTCCAAGCCTCTCCAATTGACAATGTTGGTGCCCTGTTCCAACTGCAGGTTCCAAAGGGATAGAATTAGAGTATGTTTGGTTGAGCTGCGAGTTCTGAGAAAGCAGCCGTGAGCTGCGAGCTGTGAGAAAGCGGCTGTGAGCTGAGAACTGTGAAAAGGTTGGAAGTTATTTGGTCGAGACAACTGTGAAATTGTAGATTTGGCATGAATTTTCCATAATGCCCCTCGGGGCTGAAAGAATGTTTATGTACTAAGCAGTGACTTTTACATTGTTAGGCATTTCAACAACCATTTTGGAAAGGAAAATTAGACAATTCATGGCTAACATATAGGAAATTCAATGATTATATTGTAGTGTTTCATACTTCATGCGTATAAATATTAACAAATAAGATATGGACCATACAGAACACAAATTGTTCACATGATGATGGCCTTCATCAACATAGCTAACCTATCTTGCTCTCACAAAACACGCATCGGCTATCCTACTACAAATATTGTTCAAGATATCTTCGCTTTCCTACTCTTGAACGTGATTCGCTTGTGTTGGTGACACCCCCTTTCGTAGCACTGGGAGGTACGTACACATGCAATTCAATACCTTCCTAGCATATATACTGAAACATAAATTAATGTTAACATCAAACCCCGAAAATGAAGCCTTGTGCAACATTGCTAGTAAGGTTGACTAGGTGAAAACCCGAAGAATGATTGACTAGTGTAACAGGAAACACATAATTGTAAGAGAAATTGTAATATTGTAGGAGTATGAATAAACAAGAAACCAACAATGAAAGACTTGCAGCATGGCATAACACGAATGGTGGAACCTGAAGATCAATCAATAACATGCAAATGGAGAAGCAGTCACTTTCAATGGTAGTATTTAGGTCTGACTGCTAAAATCAACAACACAGCATAATACACCACCATATTCCCAATCACAAACAAGATTTGAGGCATCAATCATGCCAACAATACCACTAGTACTAATGTGTAAACCAATTTCGGCCAGTATAACCAAGAGAAAGCTCCTGCTTTCTCAAAATGCATGTTACTGCTAAGCTTTGATTTCAGGCCAAGACGGTGCAGATAAAACAATTAAATCTTTTATTTTTCATATAAACGGTGAGCCATTGCATGTTTCACTGCTAACATGTTTACACCAAAACATTTGCTCAACTGAAATTCAAACAACAATTTGTAAACATTTGCCCCTACAAGCATTATCACAAACACCTATCAAGCAAAATCCTTTCACATGTAAACTTGAACATGCATTGGAAATATCATGCAGAAAATACTCATCAAGAAAAAGGCATCATTATGCTCATAATATCCAATCTACAGCAAGTACGCATCCAATGCAAAAATCATTAAATCAGAACAAATGAACAAACAAGGATGCAAGAGGAAGGAGGGAGGGGG